CTCGTGAGTTTTTCAAAGACCTCAAATAGCACTCGTCCTTTGGACTCATTGTATTTTGAGGTTTTGAAAAACTCACTCGTGCATGTTATATCCAAATTGCACTCGAAACCATGCTATTACCTATACAAAACAAACGTCGCTACTATCGTAATAAATGTGAAAATGTTAGCTAATTTATATAAACAATGCGTATAATTTTTTTTTTATAGTATTCATCGAAATTACATACAATTAAAATTATGCTTTTTTTTACTAACACAGCATAGAAAATTCCTATTTTAGTATTTATTTCGCGTTTAGTAAATTCAATTCAAACTTCATAAATAGCATTCTGATATGTCGGTCATAAATTCGAATGAACATTTTTGTGTCGTATTTTGTTATGCCGTCGCCACAGAAAAATAGAACATATTGATAAAAATTCTAGGCCCAAAGGGAATGTACAGAAGCCCAGAGGCGACAGCATAAAATCACTTTTGTATTTTGTATTTTGTGTTTTATATTTTGTATTTTGTGTTTTACATTTTGTATTTTTGTGTTTAATATTTTGTGTTTTTGTGTTTTATATTTTGTATTTTTGTGTTTTATATTTTGTATTTTTGTGTTTTATATTTTGTATTTTATATTTTTGTGTAAATATAATGCTCTTAGACGTGGGATTATAGGCATTTAGTAATACAAATTGTGTTATTTAACAACAATACATATGTCAAAACATGATTACAAGCTATAGAGACATTGTATTTTGACTGCGCGAAATGCGTGTTACATACTGAACGCTTGTTTAAAGAGCATTATCGCGCGCATTACTATAAGATACGCATACCGAATTCGCCATGCAGACATTAGCATTACTCCCGTAATAAGGCACGGTTCAGACGGCGACATTTTCAAGCGCTTCATTTCTTACAGCACAACCGCACAAGTTCGGCAACTGATTTAGAGTTTAGACGCCGCTCTTCTAGATCTGTCGTACTTATAAATCATTGTATTACGTAAATACGGGTTCGGCGCATGAGAAAGTACGTTCGCCGTCTAAACCGAGTCTAAGGCTGTCTGCATGGCGAATTCGATATGCGTGATCTCAGTTATTGATATGCTCGCGATAATGCTCTTTATTTAACAAGCGTTCAGTATGTAACTCGCATTTCGTGAAGTAAAATACAATGTCTCTATAGCTTGTAATCATGTTTGACATATGCATTGTTGTATAATAGTAAAAAGCTGAGCTGAAATATAATATAAACTAAGTAAAAATATAAAAGTGAAAATATAAAAGTGAAAATATAAAAGTGAAAATATAAAAGTTAAAGTTGGAGATGAGCGTCTAAGCAGGAAGACCTCCTGGGGCTATGGCATGTGATTCAGCATTTCATTGATGTCTGACTTGCAACCGAAAAACACGATATCGTCGGCTGTTGACATGGCCAGAATTCCACTGCGTATCGCATTAAAGCCGAATCCAGCGAGCAGGCTAAATCCAGCTTTCGGGCATGTAACCGTCTTTATACGCATGGCCTAAAAACTTTCTTACTGTCAAAATAAGTTGTGCCTAAAACTGTAAAAGTTAAAATATAAAAGTAAAAATATAAAAGTGAAAATATAAAAGTGAAAATATAAAAGTGAAAAGTGAAAATATAAAAGTGAAAATATAAAAGTGAAAATATAAAAGTGAAAATATAAAAGTGAAAATATAAAAGTGAAAAGTGAAAATATAAAAGTGAAAATATAAAAGTGAAAATATAAAAGTGAAAATATAAAAGTGAAAATATAAAAGTAAAGTTAGAGATAAGCGTCTAAGCAGGAAGACCACCTGTGGCTATGGTATGTGAGGCTGTAGATAAAAGGCGGATGGACGGCGGACGACGGAGCATTTTATAAACACATGATTACTACCGCAACTAATTATAATACCCTAAATTAAAGTATACCAGGCTACTAGCCTTAGATCCATGGGCGTACCGGAAGGAAAAAATTAGGGGGGCGGAAAGAAATTTGCCCGACCAAGTGCCGAAAAAATTTTTTCCGGAACAAAAAAATTTCGGTCAGTGTACCATTTTAGGGGTCCAAAAATTTTTCGGACATACCAAAATTTTTGTGAAAATCAAACAAATTTTTCACACATCACAAAATTGACCACAAAATTGAAATGGCCAACTTGCATGCGACGACTATTCTATATATGGGTTTTAGAAATATTATGTAATAGGGGCGGACCATTTGATGGAGTGGATTTTCATTGAGCCCAATAATCAGTTTTTTCAAACCTGCTAATGCTTCTCGATATTTTTCTGTCATTCAAGGCTCTTCAATTTCTTCAATTTCGGGTAACCCATTTGCGAAACATCACTTAGGTTATCGATAAACAATTCGTCAGATTCAGTTAAATTTCCTTAAACATTTCGCATTGTTGGTGAACGAATAGTCTAAATTTAAGGAAAGTTCCTTAAAAGTGAGAACGCTGTTGGTAAATTTTCATTTATCAAAATCACTTGACGTCATTTTTGGCTCGAGTCCTAGCTCGAATCCTGACTCGATATTTAGGTACCCTCATATTTATGTAAATATGATATATTATAATATCTACTCTACACAGTAATCAGTGTAACAAGCTGTTTGAAAAATGTATATATGTCAACTTGGGCAATGTAAGTTGAGCAGCAGCGTAAATATTGGGTATTCTATTACCTAGTATTTAAAACACGAGGAGTGTTTTATCGTATTTAAAACGCGAGGCGCAGCCGAGCGTTTTAGATATGATAAAACGCGAGTTTGAGTGTTCTGAATAGCTTAAAATACGACTACAAAAGAATTCTAATTAGGATGAACAATTATATAATCATACTAATTAGGATGAACAATTATATAAAGAATGGGACCGGCTAAACGGAGAGTTATGAAGCGGAGAGTTATCTCTCAGAGAGTTATGATTTCGGAGAGTTATGTTCGAACCACGCCCAAACCACGCCCACTTTTCCCAACGACCACACCCAATTTCTTTAACTCTCCCGACGTTTCCTTGAACTAACATGAGAGAGTTATGTTTGACGTAACTCTCTCTCGTTAACATTATGATCATGAAGATGTTAGAGAGTTACCATTTTTTATAACTCACCGCGTTCACGATTGTGGCAATGCCAATGACGAGAGTTATGTCCGTCAGTTTTTTGAAAAAAACTTCCACATTTTAGTAAAATTATTGTGAATTTACTTTTTTCTCAAGTTTCAGCTTTAACATTTCACGCTAGTAGAAACTTGTAGTAATTTAATACTTACCAAGTGAAGCAAGTAAGAGTAAATAAATTATTATACATGCTCACTTGGATTATCTACAAAGCCCAGCATTCAGATACAGCTCTCGTATTAGATGGAACCAGAAAACCTTTCCAATGCATGTAATGCCCTATTGGCTGATTTGGGAAAGTCTTTCCAAAACCTGAATTGCTGAAAGATTCAATTTTCTTAATTTTTTCAATTTTCTTGCAACTATGCTTACTGTATTTACTGCCAAATACACGTCAAACCATGCTTCTGGGGGTAATTTGACCCTTCTGATGCAAGCATCTCATTGTTTTGACCGAGTCAAGTTGTACTATTCAGGACGCACGCTATTGACACGCTACAAACTGAACTACCAAAATATAAGATGAAAATCTGAAGAAACAAGCTTTACTAAAGTTTTCTCAAAAAACTGACATAACTCTCTTCATTGCCACAATCGTCGGAACGTTATAAAACATGATAACTCTCTAACATCTTCATAATGTTAACGAGAGAGAGTTACGTCAAACCTAACTTTCTCATGTTAGTTCAAGGAAACGTCGGGAGAGTTAAGAAGTTGGGTGTGGTCGTTGGGAAAAGTGGGCGTGGTTCGAACATAACTCTTCAAAATCATATCTCCCCTAGATTACTCTCCGGTGGGTAACTCTCCCTTTAGCCATACCCATAAAGAATACTAAAGAAGATGAGTTTTATCAGATATAAAGTCACTTCACGTGACATATTATGGCTGACATGATTTGCCACAAGGTTTATGAATTTTTAATGAGTATTATAAATGTATTTGAAAGGCTTAGGGAAGGTTATAATTTCGTTCTACATTTATACACAGTGGAATAGTAATGTGTACAAGCACTCACATGAATGGACCTTGGCACGTGTTAGCCTTTTAGTAAATAAAACGGGGATTATAGGTCAGCGCTTTGCCCGATAATCGAAAGGCCATGCCTGTGGAGGAGGCTAGGTCAGACAGCGCAATGTAAAGTATGAAAATGACAGCAAGTGAATGTCATGTAATAGTCCCGCCTAATAATATTTTAATTCAATGGCAGTCTTAGGGCAGTTACTGATACAGAAGCACCAAAACTAAGGCGCATTTTTACAATATTTCCAAAAGTTTCACGCGAAAGTCGGCGAATAGCCTCCTATCATACATACATATTGAATGCTGATTAAATTAAATTCCATGGCTAAAAATTCGAACAGGTGAAAACATATTCATTTTACAGATCTGAGGCTGGTGTACTTTAATTTATAGGTTATTATAATTAGTTGCGGTAGTAATCATGTGTTTATAAAATGCTCCGTCGTCCGCCGTTCGTCCGCCTTTTGTCTACAGCCTCACATACCATAGCCCCAAGTGGTCTTCCTGCTTAGATGCTCATCTCTAACTTTACTTTCATATTTTCACTTTTACATTTTCACTTTTATATTTTCACTTTTATATTTTCACTTTTATATTTTCCCTTTTATATTTTCACTTTTATATTTTCACTTTTATGTTTTTACTTTCATATTTTCACTTTTATATTTTCACTTTTATATTTTTACTTAGTTTATATTATGCTTCAGCTCAGCTTTTTACTTTTATACAACAATACATATGTCAAACATGATTACAAGCTATAGAGACATTGTATTTTACTGCGTGAAATGCGTGTTACATACCGAACGCTTGTTTAAATAAAAAGCATTATCGCGCGCATATCAATAACTGAGATCATACCGAATTCGCCATGCAGACAGCCTTAGACTCGGTTTAGACGGCGAACTTTCTCATGCGCCGAACCCGTAATACAACGATATATAAGTACGACAGATCTAGAAGAGCGGCGTCTAAACTCTAAATCAGTTGCCGAACTTGTGCGGTTGTGCTGTAAGAAATGAAGCGCTTGAAAATGTCGCCGTCTGAACCGAGCCTTATTACGGGAGTAATGCTAATGTCTGCATGGCGAATTCGGTATGCGTATCTTATAGTAATGGAGCAATTTATTTTAAAAAATAAATTAGGATTAATAAGAGGCAACATCCATACCGAAAACTGTACGGAAACGATAAGCAAAGAAAACAACCGCCTTGCTCTCCGGGCAACACCTGCCATGTGTCAATGCCAAATTGTCAATATAATCCCATTTTGCTAAGCCGACATTCTTCAGTTATCAGCAAAAGCTAGCCAAATTTTATCTCAGTTCACTCTGGTTTCAACGGTCTTCGAAACAACATAGAAGGAAAATTTTCCGTACACGAAAATGCCCGTGGTACATTTTCTCGGATAAATCGAAGCTTCCAAGTCCCGACGTTCAGAACCTGGAAAAAGGCTGTTTCTTATCCACATTTGTCCACTTTTTTAAACCGGTGAGTGCGTTTCATATTGTCATTATACTTAAGCGCGTTATGTTATACACTGAAGTTGCCATGCACGAACAGCATAAAGTCCATAAACCTACCAATGTTCGTCCATGGTAGAACGTTTTTGGAGCCATATTACGTGCGCAATTCGAGTACATCCCATGAACTGCTCGGCTTTTCGTTACCCGCATTTAGTTTATCAACATGACATTGCTCTCACGAGGCAGTTATGAAAACGCAGGTCTAGGCCCGGCAGGGTCAACATGTGTTAGTTGGTGTTAGGACGATAATTTTATATATACAATATAATCCCATATATGACATATATGTTTGTCACTTACAAGTACAATATCCACTTCATCAACAAAATACCCTGCTTCATGATGAAACATTTGGCCACAGGCATATAAACAGAGTCGCCCTATGTATACTACAATGGCCAGTCAAATTATGCCAGTCTGTGGCAGTCTCGCAGAATACTCTCAACTTATAATCTAACTCCTTGTGGTGAGGCATATTTATGTTTTGTTTTGTTTTGTTTTCCCCATGAACCACATTTGTAAGATTGTACTGATATCATTTGCCTGATACCGAAGAGGTAAATAGACTTCTAATCTCTGTAACTCAATTTAAGATACCTTAAGACTGTAGCGCTAGCCAGCTACAAGACAAGCCAATTTGAAGCATGCATAGCAAACAATATGACGCTATACATAAATCTCTATGTTAGAATATATATACATGCATGTACGGTACCAACTACTGTGTCTGTGACTAGTGTATGTCACCTATCTAATCATATATCTCAATCAGGAATAAAATTTACAAACAACCACATAACTTCAGCCACGACACCATATTCCATAGATACCGTATATATATACACTAGATGTCTATGCACGACACGCGTGTATAGATCGTTATCCAAGATATACAGAACTGTCAGAACACCACGCACACGCATTATACATACATTATGCCCTTACTATACAATATCTCACTATATGGTCTACTCTCCAAACCCGGTGAAGACCCAAGAAATCCATTAACCAAATACCGCCTATACAAAAGATTGCACAACGCAAAATCCTGTATATATGGACTATATATAAGGTATAAAATTACAAACTGGCAGAAGAAAAAATTGCTAGTGAAAGAATTTAAAGATCGTCGGTTTCTCACTCGTTCAGGAATGCTCAGTACAGATTTTTATTAACCCCACTGTAGAGGAAACATTTCCTGCCACACTCGGTATTTGGACGCGGCAGAGCGCATGAAGTATATACAGCTGCATGGGTTAGACGATTTTATTACCGACATTCTGCTTTCATGGGTTTCCGCATATTTCTCTCTGGAAAGCTTGGAAATGCGCGGACGAGATTTCAAAAATTTAATAGTAAATATATAGAAAGCATCAAAATTGCTTGCACGTCATGACGTCATATAACTGTAAAATACAACATATATATTCTCCTGTACAAAAACCCCAGTCTCACAAAATATGTCAACAGCGATCTTCGCATTTTATACCACAAGCGCTATAATAATTGAAATACTACAGCATGACATCATGATCACCTGCATTACATGGCGTCTTACAAAACCCAGTACTGTACATAGTAGGTACTTATATAGCTAGCGTACCAACTACCAAAACGAAAAGGTTTACGGCATATTTCACCAGATCAAAACAATTCCTAATACGATACACTGTTATTTCAGAGGTTATTTCCTATTTTATGCCATCGCGTATACACCCCACATGCAATTCGAACTAAACATACTTCACAGTTCACTACAGTGTATCACACACCGAGACAAAGCCAAATTAAGGGGTAGTAGAGCACTCGCATTCTACTACAAATTTATTCATCGCGCATTGAGACAACTATTATCGACCAGCTCATGATTATACACAGAGCAGTTTTTGCTTTTCTCCGTCTCTCTTTTAGTCATTCTGTTACAAACGAAGGAAGGACATGAAGAAGATCTCAGCATTTGCGCCATCTTGGTTTCCGCCTTCCATCACCTATCTGGATCACGCCTACGTCCTAATGGCTATGAACTCTCTACGTATATATGAACTATTTATGACATAATCTACATTCTATTACCTGAACTACTACTGTACGGTGGCGTTCTGCTTTGGATTGCGACAAATTCATTCTGATCGTTTAGTTCCCTTATTTATGCTCAAAAGCGTAGTTTCATAACAAAAAAAAAAGAAAAGAAAAAGAAAACAAACCAAAAACAATAAAACAAATAACGCATGCGTTAACAGAATAGCTTAGTGGTGTCTAACGCGATACTGACATTTCTTAATTTTGTAAAGATAAAGCTATGTGGGGAGCTGCTGGTGGTCTTGGCCCTACCCAGGTTTTCCTGTACTGCAGGTTTTTTCCTGGCCTCCCTGATTATCCAGCCGTAGCATAAGCGTTAGTATCTCGTGGACACCATATATCTTATTTGCGCAGCACGCCATCATTACACACTATAAAACATACATCTATACCATACTATAAATACTTCATATTAACTATTTATAATTTTTCCCGACCAACATGCTTCTCGTGGGGGATCTACACTTTGTCTCGATCAATGGCGGAAAGTGGTGTCCACACGGCCACACTTCGCCCACGGTGAAGCACACACCGGCAAAAGAGAGCAAGGTCCATAACGGCGGAGGCCCTTACCCTCGTCCTGATCTTCGCATCTCTCGGTCACTTCACCACGGGGAAGCCCGGCTCGGACATGAGATTCAATGTCCATAACGGTGAGGGCCCTTACTCTCACCCTGATGTTGTTTCTCCAGCTTTTCTGGAGGCCCTTACCCCCAAGAAACCGCACTTCCGTCACCCAATTTGGCCACGAAGGATTTGCGTGATTTATTAATTATATTATAAAACATACTAAGCATAATATTAAACTTTAAAGGTCTTCCATGATATTTCCTTTATAGTATCTATTCGTAGTAATTAGTTCCCAGTTGTATATTAGAACGAGGCAATAAGATCTGGTATATACGTATCCAGTGAAATAGTGGCCGGGCTACATAATATGTATTCCGTACACAGGGTGTTCTGCAATACTTCTATTTGTGAAAAGTGGTATTGATTGTCGCTTTGAATCCTTGCACGCTAGTTATCTTATCCTGATTCTCTTCAATAGGGATGATATATAGTTTTAACTCGCAATAACCGTTCTTGAGTATTTTCGGAACCAGAAAAACAAATCGTTCATCTTTCTACATGCACGTGGTCGAAGAAGAACAACGTAGAGTGATGGATATATGGTGCACCAGCGGGTTGCGAAGGGATCCATTGATAACGCGCGGAGGCCTGAACGCGGATCAATGATGCGTCCGACTATCAATGAGGAGTCCGAATGTATACGGAAAAAAAATTTGCGGCGCCGCCACTGATTTTTCAACTTTTATCTTTTGTTTTATCTAACAGTTTTTTCGTTTATAATATCGTCCCCTACAAACAAATTTGATGGATGTGCCATGGGCAGCCCTGTTAGTGCAATTGTTGCTAACCTAGCTGTGTATGGAAGTGATAGAAGAACAGCAACACGAGACGCAACTTCACCACCTAAAGTTTGGAAATGTTTTGTAGACGATTGTTTTTCCATAATAGAAAAGACTAACATATCATGGTTTCATGACACACAAACCCATTGACCCACACATTGACTTCACTATTGAAAACAAAAAGGACGGAAAGATCGCTTTCCTTTACACATTACAGTAGTTTCTAGAAGCGACGGTTTAATTTCTATTGATGTTTGCCGCAAACCCACTCATACAGACCGTTACTTAAATTACCTATATGACCAGGGAGTATTCTAAGGTGCAGTGATAACCAATTTGTGCAGTAATGAATTAGATTATGTGCAGTGATAAAATACGATATTGTTCAGTACTAGAAATTGGCGACAAAATGGCCACTGGTTGTATACTAATTTGCATGTAATCCACATACAATTGCTGATTGAAGAGTTCCGTCCGGTCATTTTTCGAACTATAGTTGAAGGAAAAGCGCCACCTGCAGGAATTGCGGTTTTACCATACATCAAAGGACTAACCGAACTTCGGGCCAGAACACTCCAAAAACATGACATATTAAAGTTTACAATAAGCCAGTGAAAACCCTCGAACGCCAATTCCCTTCTGCAAAACAGAAACCACCAATAGAAGAACAAAAGAACCGACGTGGTCTACCAGATACCGTGTCAAGATTGCTGCAGTTGGAGCTACATAAGCGAAACAGGAAGATCCCTGAAGAGTGAAGACGAGAAAGTCTGAACACGTAAGAAATGTGAAACAAAGCAAGAAGTGGTCGAATGTCGCGAAACACGCATGCATAACGCTTTTCCGGCTGATAATTTCAGCAAATATAAAACAAAAGTTATAGTGGCCGAATAAGGAGTGCATAATATTAACACACAATTTATAAAAACAGTTTTAATAAATTGTGTGATAAAATTACGCACTCCTTATTCGGAAAAACTTTTGTTTTATATTATATGGTAGCTCCAGCACTTTTACGATATAAACCGCATCACTACAACGCGTAGATATCATAGATATCTTATATATTCTAGATAGCGCATCTCTTTTGGTAAAATTAAAGCCAAGAATATTCCAGCGGTTACCCCCATTTGAATAGATGGCGGCCATGTTGGAGTTTCCCATTCGCTAATAAACGCTTAAAAAACAACAATAACTTTCATCATTTGAATAGTTTAAAAATGTATTTGGAATAGGTTAACCTTAATATTTAAGTTCCATGTGTAAGAAATAGAAAACATACGAATCTTCTCATTTCATGGGAATATCCTGAGTCTGCAATCACGGCTTCAATTTTTGAATTATAGAATATAATTAGATGCACTATCTAGCATATATAAGACATTTATGGTAGATATACATGAACTTGCGGTTACAGCTGTCAGCTGACAACTGGCCTCTGTAGCTCAGGGGCCGGTTGTACGAATGTCGGATTGAGCTATCCACCGGATAGTGATTTTTTAAACCTTTGCAAAATGCTTGAAAAACTGTGAATCTACGGATATATAGACGACACAAGTAGTACAAAAAACATTTAACTTATAAATTCTAAACTTAAATACGAGTTATACCAATCAACGACTGATTTAACAAAGCTTGAAAAAATCACTATCCGGTGGATAGCCCTATCCGGCCTTCGTACAACCGGCCCCTGTTGCATGGTTAGAGCACTGCACCGGAATCGCTGGGCCGTAGGTTCAATTCCTACCAGAGGACCTTGTGCTGCATTTTTCGCAGTCGTTCCTGGTCAGGTCTTAAAGTGTATATATATTTAATATAGGCTATATATATATATAGTGTATATTTATATATATAGTGTATTGTATTTGAAATTTTTTACGCTCTCTCTCTCTCTCTACTTCGGATAAAACGGATTATACTATATTCTTGTTTGATAATTAAATTATAAGTTGTGAAGTTTTGTATAAAGATGTTTTGTAACAGGTCACTAACACGTAATTGGCTCACGCTGTGTTAGTGTTCCTGAACCGTCTTCCTGTTTGCATATGTTTATATTTCTGTTGACGGCTGAAGTTCATAAATAAATATACTCACTTGGATTACAAACCCTAGAAACAGCATTCTAATAGAGAAGAAATCACATATGTCACATAATTGCAAGGTTAGTTATTTGTAACACTTCGCTGGAACTAATATACATTTCAACAAAGTCAGAAATTTCCAAGGCGTTGAAGCAATGTTCACTTTTATTGCATCCAAAGCGTGCAGTGTCCACTAGTTCAGTCAAACAAAATATATTCACTGAATAAGTGTAAACTTCAAAAATATACAGTAATCCAAAACGGAGCCGCAATCGTTTTATTGAACATTTGCCAAGCTGTTGAGTGAGAATTAGTATCACTAAATTAAAAACATTCAGTGTCTTCTTTTTAGGAGAAAGTGTTAACTTATTATAAACGAACTGTGCATGCAATCCCTGAAAAAACTAATTTGAACATTTGCCTCATCATTTCTGAAGAAAAGGTTTACAGGGAAATCTTCAGTGCATGCAGTTTTGAAAATCAAATCAAATCCTCCCGAAAAGAAAAAAATCCTATCCGAGCGTATGTTTTTTCTGTTCACATTATAGAATGGGACGAAGTCAAAACGGGTTGTCGCTTGGTTTAAATTACTTAAGTTGTCAATCACAGAGTATTATTTAAAGAATAATACATGCATGGGTGCGCGAAAATACCAGATTTATTTCGAGTGTTGAACATGATATCTCAAGAGTGAGCGCAGCGAACGCGAGTACTATTATGTATTTAGTGGGTTAAAATTTAACCCACTGTTATATATATACAGTTTGTGTATTTCTCCATGTCAGTAAGTTAATCTCATAACGTCAGAAAACTCCTGATGCTGGCAAGATTTTTGTGAACAAATTTTCCAAGCTTATAAACAAACTGGTGAGAAATTTCCTGTGAATTTCAAGTTAATCAAGGATTAAGTTTACTAGCTTTTTGTGCAACGGCATACAATGCAAATCTTCGGTTTGCTTCGTACATGAAAAGAAAAACTCTCGAAAAGCATTGCAAAAAATGTATTCTACTTGTTTCCATCTATTTATTACATTTTGTGTAATATACAAAGCTTATCCTGCTTCATAAAAGCTCTAACATGCAAAAGAAAAATTCTTCAAATTAGCTGCATGTTCGTTTATTATTTCTACTTATACTATAGTGCAAAGCGTTCCCAATTTCTAGATTAAAACCAAAAGTTAACGAATAAATGAAGTATTCCAGTGTCTTTCTTGTTTCTTTTCTAGTCTATCTTCAACACCTTTTTCCATGTCAATGATTCGTCGACGCTTTTTTTCTTACGGATAACTGGTAGTTTTTCACACATTGTGCATGCGTCATCTTTGCATCTCGTAAATGGAGGGCATTTTGGCTTCTGATGATTGCTTGTACATTTCACGATCTGGGGCGACCACGTCAAACGATTGTTTTTCGTTGTTTCCCTGGTAGTGAGTCGGAATTGCCACATGCATCCCCGTATGAATGTCTTTCCTGTGTCATAGTTCTTGCAAGTGAAAGTTATCGCTTTGGTTTTTGATTGGCTGTTTTCCCACTCTTTTGCGAGCGACGTTGACACGGTTATAGTGTTTGTATGCTTGACTGATGCGCTGGCTGATACTCCGCCGGATGCGTAGCCAAATTCGACACCAATTTCGATTGCAGAACTAACTTGCATTGACTTGGTCGAAGTGATTTTTGTCTTGTAACTGATCCTGTTTTTTATCCGGTGAGTAACTTCACCGTTTTGATTGCAGCCAACCATGAACCATGTTGCACTAGGTGTAACTCATTTTCTATTCACCCATCTAAAGCGTTGATCAGGAGTCCCCTCACACTTGTAGGTCCTCACATTGCTTCCCTTTTTTGCTTCACGTCCATGAACGTCTATGCACTGTCCTGACTTCTTACTCCGAAAAGAACAATAATCTCCATGGCAGTACTGGCGCGGTCGTATCCACATTTGATCAGGCAGATCTTCACACGCGTACATCTGAATATTACCATATCCACTATAACCTCCAATATTGACGCACAATCCGGACTTTTTATTGACTATTTCGCCATTTTCGTAAAAATCGAAATACTGATCAGCAGCGTCTTCACAGTTGTCTATTAAAACATTGCCACGTCCTTGGTCTCCTTCCACATCCAGACAATATCTAGATTTCTTAACGTGTAGTCTTCCAGATCCCAGCAGCGTACCCCGAGAGCGGAAGTAGAAGTACTGATCATCCAGATTTTCGCAACGATATGCAGAAATGTCACCATTTCCACCACGGCCATGAACATTCATGCACGCTCCAGATTTCACGTTTATGATTTCTCTTGCCTCTTGTTGAATTCCTCCTCTGTCTACGAAGGTTTTTGACCTTCCATATTTCCACTTCTGATAGTCAGGTATGACTGGGTATACCTCGCAAGAAGTTGACACCAAATTTCCTTTTCCGTCTTTGCCTGGTGTAAAACAATTATAAGGAGCTTTTGAATTCCTTATCGTTCCATCTTCACACATAATAATTTGCTGATCATGATAGCCGTCACAGAGATTTGTATTAATTTTTCCACGACCATCTGTTCCAGCTATGTTAATACATTTCTTTGACTTCAAAACTCGAAGTTCGCTAATTTTCATCGGATTAACACAGATCACTTGGGCAGCGGTTTCGGTGGAAATACACGTCAAGACAATAACGATTAACAGAACAATTTTTGACATCGTTCCCTGGTAACATAAAAAAAATGACGCGATATTTGTGAAGGACATTCAACAACTAATTAAAGAAGATGGTTCATTTGAATAATGTTAAGATTATAGATGACATTAATAATTTTCGTCAAAAGCCGGCGATCGTTCGTAATATGTAATACAGACCGTATGTGACAGTCAGACCGACTGTGAAAAAAAATTCATTTGCATTCCCAATGCAAGCTTATATGTATGTGACTGCCCTTTAAGCACTGCAATTGGTCTTTCAAAACAAAACGTTTTGAGACCGACTGCACAGATTTGAAGAGAATGTTTCTGGAGACAATAACGATTAACAGAACAATTTTTGACATCGTTCCCTGGTAACATAAAAAAAATGACGCGATATTTGTGAAGGACATTCAACAACTAATTAAAGAAGATGGTTCATTTGAATAATGTTAAGATTATAGATGACATTAATAATTTTCGTCAAAAGCCGGCGATCGTTCGTAATATGTAATACAGACCGTATGTGACAGTCAGACCGACTGTGAAAAAAAATTCATTTGCATTCCCAATGCAAGCTTATATGTATGTGACTGCCCTTTAAGCACTGCAATTGGTCTTTCAAAACAAAACGTTTTGAGACCGACTGCACAGATTTGAAGAGAATGTTTCTGGAGGGATGAAAAGTGGAAGCACCGGCTTAAGACAAATCAGTCCACTAGAACAGGGAACAGATTATTTCGCTGGCCTCAAAGTGACAAAACGTAACAAAGCAACAGTTTTACTAACACTAACCCTACTCCAAACACCAACTCTAATACTAACCCGAATCCTTACCCTAACCCTAACCTAACCCTACTCCAAATTTGTTTCTAAGCGAATCTTGAAGAAAAATGTTTTGACGAAATTTCATTCTGAGGTCAGCGAAATAGTTGATGCCCTAGAATGTCCACGATGCCCGTGAATGTTTATATGGAGAAATACAATAGAGAAGGTCCATTTACTAGCATGCAGGATTAGCATGTAATTAATAATAATAATATTTCCAATTTCACATACCGCACTCTCCAAAATTGCCCAAATGCGCTTTACAAATATACATGCAGTTTAAAAACCTAGTGACTAATGATATAAAAATGTTAATAAATTAATAATACACAAGATTAAAAAGATGTGTCTTAACTTTTGGCTTAAAATATCCGCAGTAGGACTACGCCTGATTTCAATTGGCAGATTGCTCCATAGAGCTGCTGCACAAACCGAAAATGCTCTAAAACCAAACGATTTAAGGCGGTATGTTAGCTGGCAGAGAAGCAGCTTGGTTTTTACCACTTACATGGAAATTCTGGTGATTCCATACGGAAAGTAAATGGACCAAGCATATTTCGACTGCTCAACCGGTAAATTTTGTTCCATTTACATCTTTTTTTTATTTTTTCACCAGTTCCAGGCTCTTCTCGATTTAACAATTGGAATCATTAAATACTTCAGTGCCTTCCGGTCAGTCACTCTAAATGGAAAGCGCATAATCCGAATGGGATTTTCTATCCGAAACTTTGTTTACCATTAGCACAATTTCAAACCGGATGGGTTTCCCATGTAAATGGTAAACAACCTTTGTCTCCAGATCTAAGAGCCCTCCTTGGAACTTACGTACCAGCAAATCACCGAGATAAGATGGTGCTGAACCATTAACTATCTTGTACGTAAATAATAAAATTTTGAAATTAATGCGCTGTTCTACAAGGATATAACTCTGGCAGCCGCATTAAGGACATATTGTAGACGCTGAATCAAATAGCTGGGCAATCACTTAACAGTAATACTGTACAGTGAAACAATGTCATTTTGAGAATCCCGCGAAGACATTTTAATTCCTCGTGCAGGATAGCCGGATCCTGCACGGCTATTGACCAATCAAATTGCGTATTTTACTGTAGTTATTATATAATGTTAAATAGTTCTACTTTTACTCGAGTACAAATTCAAAGCAATTTAGGCACCACTGGTAATAGCTGATCAAATGTTTCAACAAATCGAAAGAAACAAAGTATATAACATACGCAATAAAATCATTTCGATCATGAAGATCATTTGAAATGTTTAATTATAGTGAACAATTAAGAGGAGTTTTTTTGTATGTCACGTAACAAGCGCTCAAAACTAATGCGTATAATTATTATACTACTTGAGGTTATGACTAAATTCAAAATTTCTATTTTTCGATACGTTTCTCAATTGGCAAACAAACTTAAAAAGTATATTTAGTGCTTTATCTGTAAAATAATGCTAAAATGACGAGATTTTAGATGACACGCCAAAGAAAAATGATGTCTGAAGTTCAGTAAGTTTTGCTTATATGGCTGTAAATATGGCGTTAATTTTAAAGTATCATTGATAATTGTATTTTAATTGACAATTTTTAACTATTATTTTATGTTTCTCAACCGGCAGATGCATTTAAAAAGGTTTCTAACTCTATAAACTAAAGAATAAAGCTAAAACAAAGTAATTTTGAGAGGAACGCCAAAAAGATTTTAGGTTTTGAACACTTTTCATTGCAAATACGTGACATTGAAAAAAATTGCCTCTTAATAAATCAAAAACTTAAAAGGAATCACAAATTTGAACATGTCAATAATTAAGCCCGCCAGAAACCCCAGAACTGAATTGAAGTAGCGAGTATGTATTAATGATGCTAAGTAATACATTCACAGTCAAGTTTTTGTATACTTTTAACATATACTTTAGATAGAAAAGTGAGTTAATAGTAATACACCATACCTGACGCGGATTTTTCAATTGGAAGACGTTGGCAGAGAAAGAATTACTGATCCAAGATAGCTGAACTTCGAGATTCGTAGCGGTTTCAATTTCTGTTTCACTGACACTGTACAGATAACTAGTGAGTCGGCTGTCCACAGTAATCATATTAAATACTTTGTCTTTGGTCCAATATATATTTTTCCGCATAGTAATATCAGGTAGGGCGTAGGCTGGGGTGGTTTTTCGGTATTCTTTGTTTGCAATCACGTGACTTTTCATCCAAATGACGGGCAATCAAACGACTTGTGTACGATTTTTCTCCTATCAGAATGGTTGTAGCAAGAAAAACAAACTGAACGGTGATTCATCTTTTGAGTCTTAAACTGTCTCTAAACTCGATCAATACATTAAAATAGCCGGGTTTTGTTATACATGCCCGTCAACTGAAATCCCAAAATTACGTCATTGCAAACAAAGACTATCGGAAAATACCGGTTTTTTGAAAAACACGGAAAACTGGAAGAAGACGAAGAACCGGAAAGAAACGAGATAAAAAGGCTAATATCTGTAATTTCAGTTTCTGTTTCACTGTACAGATAATTATAGTAAGTCAGCTGTCCACAGTAGAAGGGCAGGTGGAGGGGGTCTCGTCACGAAATCACGAAGATCATTTTTCGATTTCACGAGTCACGAAAAACAAAATTTCATTTTCACGATTGCGATCACGAAGCACAGAAGAGTAACAAAGTCTGAAATCATTTAACACATAATGACTTTAACATTAGAGCCGTTTAAAGGACTATAGAAATCATTGCGAGGCATTACGAAACATTACGAGCGTCGTACGCTGCCGTTCATGAAGTTTACGAAGAGATACACGAAGGTACACAATAACGATGTTTACCGATGAAACGAAGAAACCACAAGAAAGACAACCGCGGGAAGCAAATTTATTCATTTTTTCCCCATAATATTAAATTTGAGTCGAGTTTTAAACGTAAACATTCACAAGTTATGGTAAAATATTGGTAAATTCAAGACCCTAGCTAGCCTTTGAGCTCTTCACGATGCACGGCATTCATCTGAATAATTGCCAATCCCCCCCTCCCACAGTAATCATAATATCCAATATATATTTCCGCATAGTTATATCTTGACGTAGGGCGTAACACCACTCCCAGGCCTGCCGAGGTGTGGTGCGTAAAATGAGGGAGAGTTACAATATTTGTAATATTTCTGCGCGTGACGTGAGCTCATAATAAACATGAGCTCAACGAAATCTCTAGCGATAAGAGATTGCAGTGAGCACTTCGTTTAAGAGAACATTCCGGAACACTATTGCTCAGGTGTGCAACAGATATCAATCGACATGTGTCCAGATAATTTGTTAGTTTTTTCTGGTAGCACTCTCAACACTACTTAGGCTCAGATTCCAGCCGTTGTGTTCTCGCCACTCGCCCAAGTGGGCGAGTGGCGAGAACACAACGGCTGGAATCTGAGCCTAAACACTACTGTGTTGCAGGAAAAACTCAAGGAATGCGGAAGATTTCCTGGGCGTCAATCCAATTCGCTTGGGCGAATTTAATTAATCAGACGAATTTATTAATTCATTTCATAGGATGCACTTATATATGCTGTACGAGGGCGCAAAATAATTAACAGATGTCTTCGTTCTTTAACTAACCTCGTTCGACTTATAAACGCGAACGATGCGTATAAACTACCTGACACTAATACCAGGTCTTATTGCCTCGTTCTTTAAAAAGCTCCATTCGAAACGATGGGTGTAAACTACGGCAATGATGCCATTGTTAATATTGCTCTTTCTTTAAAAAAACCATTCAACTTATAAACGCGGACGATGCGTATATATATACCAGATCTTATTGCAGCTCGCTCTTTAAAAAGCCACATTCGACGCAAATGATGCGTATAAACTACGACAATGATGCCATTATAAGTTTTTCGATCTTCTCTGGTTTTTAAATATTTATTATTATGAGCTTTGACTGCCAGTTTGCAGTCTTCAACGGGTGGATAACAATGCGAGTGTGACAATTACAACGGTTTACAATTACATATACTGGGAACAAAACGACAAAAATGACAGTTCCGCGAAGATACAATATTAACGACTTAAATTACATGTAGATAGAATCAGAGTTTTTTGCTAAGCCGGAAAGCGGTATTGTACGTTCCAGTAAATGTTTTGAATTGTTGTCAGAATTTTTTGTGCATGCAGTGTGCCATCATTCAAGTGTTTCTCTGTGCCAATAGTTGCCTTTGTCAATTATTTTCCCGCTATTATATTAAACTAATCTATTTCAGTTATTTTTCCAAGCGTGATTAGGCAATTAGCGATATTTGAACCACTTTTACAGAGCTCTACATTTCTCGTGCGTTCCTTTCGCCTAATGTTGAAGAGTTGAATGCTCTGCCAGTTTCGCCAATCATGTAGCTCCATGAGCAATCTGCATTGCAGTTGATCTGGTAGACCACGTTAATGCTAATTTCCACTCAGGAAAATGATCCGTGGATTGGAAACTATTGGAACGGACAAGAAAATTTTTCTTTGTGTTAAAGTCATTAGTTCCAACCCAGCTGAGCTCACAAGACAAAGAAAAATTTTCTTGTCCGTTCCAATCCACAGATAATTTTCCTGAGTGGAAATTACCTAGCCTTTACTGATCTAGCTGATTCGTCTTCCTTTATCTGATCTGGTCTGTCTTTAGCAGAAGGATTTAAATGACTGTTCTAGAGTGCATAATTAGGGTCATGGGGTTTTATGGGTCTTTTGAGTGGTTCTGTTAGGCCTTTTATAATACAGGGAAGGACAGCGTATTAACTGTAACTAGACTGCGGCTCTACGTGATCAAAAACCTCTTTTACCAACTTTCAGGCTCAAGTGACGATGCTTTTTCTTGTCTCATTGCTCATTTCCTTTGCTGTTTGTCGTGGTGTGAATTAAGAGTCTATAAGTATCTTCCGTGTGTGTAGGGGCGTGTAGGTTTTCCATAAACGTTAATTAATCAGTAAATATCCAATATTGCATCTGACCGAACTCCGAAGTGTCTAAAGCCCGTTTTCCACTCACGTATTTCGCCGCCGCTGGCGAAAAATTTCGCCACCGAAATAGTTCATTTGTTGTTCTTTCGCGCCGTCAACGAAAGGTCAAACAGAAGTTGAAATTTTAAGCAACTGTAGCAGGAGAACAAATTTCTTTAGCGGCGAATGATTGTAAAAAAATGATTTATTTGTCAAATGTTTTCGCCAGCGGCGCCGAAATACGTGAGTGGAGAACGGGCTTAAGAATGACAGTTTTCCGTCTAGTTCCTGTTCCATGGTAAACTTGATATATGGATCAATGGAATTAAGTGAATTGTAGAAAATGGTTATAACGCATGTTTTTTTGATGATGGAAAAAATATCGACATAACGAAACCATCTCCTAGGTGCGGTTATGTAGATTGGCTATGTGCTAACTCCTCAATTTCCTCCATGTAGAGGTATTTCCTCCATATAGCACATGCAACCAAGAATTTGTTTGTAAGTCTGCTTCTGATAGTTAAAAAAAAGCTATTGAGTATTGGAAAGCGTGAACCGTAAAAGTTTGATGATGTTACTATAGAAAGTTTTGTTCTGTGTTTCAAATTCACATGTTCTGTCAACCGGAATCGCTGTGAATAACGATGCCACGCGGCGTCAAATAAAACCATAATTTCGTTATATCGTCGATGTTAGTTTCGTAACGTTTCTCCGTAAATTCAGTAGAATTGTTGATAGAGTAGCCATCGTGGTTTTGAAGTCATGAAAGTATGTCTGAAGGGAATTTGGAAGTGTTGTAAAGTGCTGTTTCCCTACAAGTAACGGTAGGTCGAAGTGGGTTAATTGGTTTGTGCATGGTCATGCATGTTTGAGAGAACCTCGAATAGCGGGTGGTATGCCATCAGTGTTCATCAAGTTTCTGTTCGCGTTTTATTTGAAGTAATTGTTGGTTTAATTCGCGTTCGATTATTTTGAAGGGGGATTTAGATACTTTCTCATACGTGTTTTTATCGTTAAGCAGACAGACCATCAACGGAAGATCATACTAACGGCGTGGTCTACAAGATCTACTGTCAGATTGCTCATGGAGCTACATTGGCGAAACTGGCAGAACATTCAACACTAGGCGAAAAGAACACAGGAGAAATGTAGAGCTCTGTAAAAGTGGTTCAAATATCGCCGATCACGCCGGACAAACAACCAAAAATAGATTTTAATAGCGGGTAAATAATTGACAAAGGCAACTATCGGCACAGAGAAACACTTGAATCATGGCACACTGCATGCACCAAAATTCGATCTGACAACAATTCAAAACTTTTACCGAAACAATACTGCTTTCTACTTAAAAAAAACTCTGAATCTATCTACATGTAATTTAAGTCATTAATCTTGTATGTAGGCGGAACTGTCATTTTTGTCATTTTGTATCTATATGTAATTGTAAACCGTTTTAATTGTCACACTCTCATTGTAATCCGGCCATAGATCAATCTATGTAATCCACCCGTTGAAGACTGCAGACTGGCAGTCGAAATTAAGCTCGTAATAAATATTTAAAAACCAGAGAACGTCTAAAATCGTACTATGAATGATACTGGTTTCGCTTCAAACATATTTAAATGATGCGATTCAGTTATTGCTCGTTCTTTAAAATTCGAGGTTGCCATTGGCATGCAATTTTCTATGATCGCTGAAACTAAAAGATTATCACGCCCGTAGAGTTGTTTGACAGATTATGATTAATTATAAATGATTACATGTTTTATAAATGTGATGTGAACTATTTTATGTTGAAAATAAGTATTATATAATTATTTGCGACAGAAGTATTATTGAAACAAACGGCGCCCCATACTCAGCATTGGAAATATAGTTGCACGAAATTCAACATAGTTTTGGTGTAAGAAAATCTATGTTTTCTTCCCACTTAACGCCGTTTAATTTCCACTAGGCGGAATTTTCCGCGCGGAGCGGAATTTCTCTTTGTCTTTTCTAATTAGGTCTACCCAAGAAATCACAAGACAAAGAAAAATTCCGTTTCGCGCGCAAACAGTTGCGCCTAGTTGGCCGAAACGGCCTTTGAATACAAGGAAACGACTTGTTTGAAACATTCCTGCAGATAGATGATATGGGACACTTGAATTTGTATAAAGTGTAATATTCGTGATGGGGGTAAATAATTTTATATTATAAGTACTAAGGCTAGCATGGTATCGAACATTAAAAGTCCTGCATGATATTTCCTTTATAATATGGATAAGACTCGCTACCAATCCCTGTTGACTCGATAGCTCAATAGGTAGAGCGGCTGTCTAGATACCCGAAGATGCGAGTTCAAATCCCGCTCGAGCCAACGAATTTTTCGTTGCTCGATTGCAGTGTCAGATTAATATGAAACTCTTAGTAATATCTGATATCAGTACAGCTATTTCAATTAATTTAAGGTTGTCCTCGAGCAAAGCGGAAAAGTCAAATTCGAGCGTGAAAGGCTGATGGAAATCGCAAAAAATTTCAGAACCATCCTCAGAGATACGAAAAATTAGTTTCATATTAATCTGACACTGCAATCGAGCAACGAAAAATTCGTTGGCTCGAGCGGGATTTGAACTCGCATCTTCTGGTATCTAGACAGCCGCTCTACCTATTGAGCTATCGAGTCAACAGGGATTGGTAGCGAGTCTTATCCAATTTAAGTGCACGAAATATTTTCGTGACGAAAATAAGTAAGTCGTCACGAAAATATTTCGTAAGTCGTCACGAAAATATTTCGTGCACTTAAATTGGATAAGACTCGCTACCAATCCCTGTTGACTCGATAGCTCAATAGGTAGAGCGGCGGTCTAGATACCCGAAGATGCGAGTTCAAATCCCGCTCGAGCCAACGAATTTTTCGTTGCTCGAATGCATTGTCAGATTAATATGAAACTAATTAATCGCAAAAAAATTCATTAATTTTTTAGGTGTATTAGAAAACAGTGAGAAAACATGATACAGTATGCAGTACACTAATTCAACATTAACCCATCAATGTTCAACGCTTTTGTTTTGGCTTGGTAATTGTTTAATTAACATTTAAGTACTAGATAAAACATGAGCAGCCGATCTGTACCTGATGTACAAACTCGAGCCGAAGACGAGAGTTTGTATATCAGATACAGATCGGATGCGAATGTTTTATCGTATACTTAAAAAATGACCCATCTTATGAATTATGAGTTCATTGGCGAAGTAATTTTAAAAATAAACATTATCTAAGCCGAGAAAATCAAAACTGAAGTTTATGTAAATCAGAACAAATCTTTATCCGATTTAGCTTACAAATATTAATTAAACATTCATTTCTTTTGTATTTTCCTCGTGAATTATTAATGAATTTTTTAAGTAGTAGATATAAATTCAAGTGTATTGACTATTGTGGCCGAATAGGTTAATTAGTTGTATTATATAAAGTGCTGCCTCGCCGCCAAGGGATCAAAGACAGACAGCATGCACAATTTGCTGAATATTGCATGTTTATATGATCCTGCTTTGCCAGCACGGGGGGCACGTGCCCCCCAAACTTTTTTAAAGGACTAAAAGTGCCCTTTTTTGTGATAAAAAGTGCCCTTTTTGTGTTGAAAAGTGCCCTTTTTTGTGAGGAAAAGTGCCCCTTTTGTAGAAGCTAATGTCGCTGTAAATACTAAATTAAAACAATAGGTGCCGTTTTTGTGTGGAAATTTACAAATTTTTTTTAAAAATTAGGTCACAAACATAAATTTCGGTATGATACGACGGAAAATTTTCCTCAGGAGAAATTTCTCCCCCCCCCCCGTCGACAACATTTCCGGGAAAAATTTTTTAGGTGCCCTTTCCGATAGTAATGTGCCCCTACAAGCCGGTGCCCCCCCCCCAAACTCCAGGTGCTTCCTACGCCCCTGAGTATGAATGCCCAAAACAATATTGCAACTGACTCGACAACAGCCTCAACACTATTCTTTTTAAAATAGAATGCTTCATTGCTTTTAACCAAATCCTTAACTTTTTCTATGTACGTAGAGTAACAATTTACAATGAAAGGAAAATGATTAACATCCTTCCCTGAATAACAAATATGCTGTATAACTCGTGGGTTGTATTTCAAATCTTTTAAGGTGACTCAATACAGTTTTTCTTGTAAATATAGTATATATACTTCAAAACTTTCTGATTTTACATATTATGTATTGATTGACTGTAAATAATCGATTATGTGATAAAACGAACAGTAACTAGAGACCTAAAATAAAAAGTCTATGAAGATTTCTAGTATGTCTCTTTTATACATGGGAAAATACGGATTTAAAAAAAAAAAGAAAAAAAAAGAAGTCGTCAAGTTGTTTTGTAAAACATGTCAAACAACCATGCATCTGCAGAGATTGCACCATCGTTGATCATCAGGGGCATAAATATGGTTTCGGTTGAAGAGGTTGCTGTCGAAGAAAAACGTCATTTGCAAAGCAATCTTAACGAAGTAAAGCGAAGAAAAGGAAAAGTTGCACAGGGAATTGTAAACCTGAAGAAATTTAATGAAGGTCTGGAGGCTAAGAAGAAGTTAACAATCTCAGAAATCAGTCACCACTTCGATCAACTTGTCAAAGCCATGAAATCTCGCAAAAGAGAAATGATGGAAAAAGCGACTTCAATCACGAATTCCAAACGGAAACAGATTCACGCACAGTTAGAGGTCCTAGAAGTGGCTTTAGCAAGTTGTGAAAGCAGCATCGAGTTTACAGAGCAAGTGTTCAAGAATGGCAACGATATTCAAATATTGAGCATGGAGAAGTACATGTTGCAGTCTTTGGAGCAGCTGAAAGCAGCTAAAGATCAAGCGAAGCCTTGCGTTAATGAAGACATGGTATTCATCATTCCTTCGTCGGCGCAGGAAAAAAAGAAAGAGTTGTTGAATTAGTATGACGTAGTTGACGCTGTCGCAGACCCTGAAAGTTGCATGGCTTCCTTTCAAGAAACTGAAGCAATATTTATTACCGGTTGACCATGAATAAGCTAAAGTTGAACAGTGACAAGACAGAGATACTGGTGTTTTCTGCTCGCCATCGTCCAAGTCCATCTTTGTCTTATATAAATGTTTGTGATGATGTCATTGGCCTCTCTACCAAGGCGAGAAATGTTGGGATTATAATGGACTCAAATGTTACTATGGAATCACAAGTATTAACCATTTGCAAATCTGGATTTTATTATTTAAGGAAAATCAGTAAAGTACCAAAATATCTCAGCCTTAAATCTGCAGAGATTTTAGTACATGCTCTGGTTACATCCCGACGTCTTAATTTTGGAAATGCATTGTTACACGGACTATCGAACACTGCTCTTGAGCGAATCGAGAAAGTTCAGAATGCAGCAGCACGAATTGTCACATTAACGAGAAAAAGAGATCACATAACACCAGTGCTATTCAATCTACATTGGCAGCTGATCAAGGAAAGGATTCAATATAAGATACTATTGATCACTTTTAAGGCTTTATCTGGACAAGCACCAGGATAGATTTCTGACCTGTTGGAAGTTTATGTGCCTAGGCGAAATTTAAGATCATCATCAGATAGGAAATTAGTAGTTCCAAATTGTAACTTGGAAACCTATGGTATAGACGTTCCTTTAGGGTATCTGCACCAATATTGTGGAATAATCTGCTTCAGAATGTAAGACTATGTGAATCTATAGGATCTTTTAAATCAGAATTGAAAACACATTTGTTCCGAATTGTATATAAGGATTTTATTTAGAGTAATTATAACTATTTTTATAGTCTATTTTACAAAACTTTAAATTAAGCAATTGTTGTATAAATATTGTAAGTTGTAAATTGTAAAGCGCATCTGGACATTTATGGAAGATGCGCTATATAAAAAACTAATTATTATTATTATTATTATTATTATTATTATTATTATTACTATTATTATTATTATTATTATTATTATTATTATTATTATATAATACTGTTGGAGAGTTGGTGGATGTTATTTCGATTCTGGAGTTCACACATGGAAAGTTGAATTGTAAAATCATCCCAGCTTACTTAAATGGAGTCAGCGCAGTTGCTGTAGTGATCCCACTGCTAAAGTTGGAATCATGGACTATGATGAAATTAATGCAAATATTGTTCGAAGCGAAAAGAAGTGGGCTTATAAGCGTTCTGTCCAAGGTGGCTACGGTGTTGTCATTTCCTTCACTCTGGACATGGCGGAAAAAAGAACATTGAACGTCAAGGTTAATTCGAGTCGTTATGGCTCCAGTAGTAACAGCTATCAGGTCACTGCAGGTCGTGTTTCACCTTTCTTTGCGTGCAGTTCACCTTACACGAGTATTAGTTTAGTGAAATGAAAACATTCCACTGTCGGTGAAATTCATTGTTGGTTGAGAACGAAAAAACTGGAGGAAAATCGCAATGCCAGCTAAAATGCGCGAGTTTCGTAAATTGTTGTTTCTACTGTTGCTAAAATATGCACATTCAAAACTTAGTTTTGTAGATTTAAGATCTGTAGAATTTGAGGTGAAACTAAATAGATATAATTTCGCGATGAAGTTTGAGTATTTTCGTGCGGATGGGGTTCAAAGAGAAAACAGAATTTTAATTGGACGCACCACAACCAGGGGTGGGGGTAAATTTTTGGATCCGAAGGCAATATTTTTCTCGGCCACTCTTGATCATTTCAGATACATTTCCAACCAAAGACTTCCCATAAAATTTTTGTAAAACGAATACAAGTAAAAATTAGTATGTGAAAATTAGTATAGGAAATTACACGGTTCGAGAAGTATTCATGAAAAATCGCATGCGTGCACTCGCAAAAATTATAAATATTTCGCCAAACACATGATTATTTGCTCGAAGCTAAAAAGTCGAATATTTATCGCTTGTTTCGTCATTTAGCCGTACTTTAGTACGCATGTTTACACGTGGGTGCGTATTAGAAATTAGTCATGGGGGACATACACACAAAGACTTTTTTCTTGTCCATCCTGTTGATACATTGACCTTCCGCAGTTTGATATTGCTATATAATATTTTGAGACTTCAATATTTTAATTAAAAACGTTTTGATACGAAATGGCTACAGAATCGATTTTAAATACAGATATATTGATACGTGATAGAGCTTGCATTCGATTTTTTGGATCAGAAATTCTATGAAAACTTTATTTTGTCCCCCAAGGGTGGGGCATTTGCGTCAATGTAAGTCCCCAAGGGTGGGGATTTTGTTGCATTATTTGGAACACATAGTGGGGCATTTGCAACGTTTTTTCGCCAAAATGACAAAAGCCCGACAAACGCCCGGGGGGGGGGGGGTTGGGCACCCATGGAATTGACTGAGACATTAATAACTTCTTTTACCGGATCTTCATATCTTGCTTTGTTCTTGAAATTTTTGATCTCATTAACGGTAGTTTTGGTGACGTCACAACAGGGATTAACAATATAACGGTATTCGTTGCTGACCAAATATTGATTGGTATATGATATTTGTGGTGTTACTCTGAGTGTATATCCACACCGGGCGAGCTTGAAAATATGCCCGGCCACGGTGGGATTCGAACCTACGACCTTTGGAATACTAGCCCAATGCTCTTCCAACTGAGCTACGCGGTCAGGACGATTCGAATATCATATTCACCTGAGTACACTACACCAACACAGAAAAAATTCATATTACTAGAATACATTGGTATCGAAGGAACTAGATTCTGTTCCGAAATATCACTTACTCGAACCGTCCTGACCGCGTAGCTCAGTTGGAAGAGCATTTGGGCTAGTATTCCAAAGGTCGTAGGTTCGAATCCCACCGTGGCCGGGCATATTTTCAAGCTCGCCCGGTGTGGATATACACTCAGAGTAACACCACAAATATCATATTCACCTGAGTACACTACACCAACACAGAAAAAATTGATTGGTATATGTTTTAAAGTTTCAAGTGATCTTGATATTTCCAAGGGCAGATAGAGTATAATTTTGAGTGGAAATGATTAGTGGTTGTCTAGATAAAAATATTGCGTGACCCTTGTTGTGACGTAACATGCATATCTACAAAAATCCAAGATGGCGGACATTTCATTTCTTTCGATTAAAATATTTTTAGAAGTAAGCAAAATATGAAAAAACGGTAAAAGAATTTTATATATGGTTTTAAATGTTCTTTCAAACGAGAAAATAAAAAAAATATTGCCATTTCCCTTTAACATTTACACCCGGTCATTAGTTGCCAACCATCTCGCGGATCGACCGTGATCGGCATCACGGATTTTACTAAAACCTGACCGTGAGCTAAAGGCGGTTTCCAGTCCTCGTACGAAGTTCTTCGCAGCTCGCTGCGAGTGATGCATGCATTAGCACTTTCATCCAATCACAATGCTAAACAGTTAATTTTAATTAGATACAAGCACTCGCAGCGAGCTGCGAGGAGCTTCGTGCAAGGACTGGAAAACCGCCTTAACTGGTTGTTAATATCTCACGGATTCTCATGGAATCTCATGGATTTCGAAAATAACCCAACTAGTTCTTAAATATGTTGGCTTTGTTGCACATTTTGAACTATTAAGAGTGACTTCATTTGCGTCTAATTTGACATAGAACTTTTTTCATGTGAAAAAAATCACGCTATTAAGCCAAAAATAGATATTCAAAACATCGCTACATGCAACCTCGTATTCGTGTGTATTCAACAATATGGTTTTGTATATCTAAATAAAAGCTACTAAAACTTGTGTGTATATAGACTGCGAGCAATCCCTTTTTGCCATTTTCCCGCGCGTTCAGTCTTAAGGCCCATACAGACCGGATGCGTTTGGCAACGCGACGCGAATTTTCAGTTTTCAATGACATTTAACTTTAATATTTTTCAATACTTTTCAAATATTCGGAACCACTTAAGCAATTTTAGCTACTTGGTCTGCATATCTTGTAAAATTTTTATCCGTTGACGGTTTTATTTTTGAAAACTGAAAATTCGCGTCGCGTTGCCGAATCGCGTCCGGTCTGTGTAGGCCTTTAGTCCGGGAAACAATAAAACGAAGGAAAATGGAGGGATTGCTCGCAGTCTAGTGTGTATATAGTATATATAGAAGACTCTGAAAATGTCATTTCCAACGATCTATAGCCGATTCAATATTTTCAAAAAAATTTCCGCTTGGCGCCAACCATGTTTGGCGCCTCGTGGGCTTCCCAAAGCAAAATCTCACGGATTCATTAGCGAACGTTACACTGGCAAAGTTTTCCTGGCTTTGTTATATCACATATATACAGGATGAGTAAAAAAAACTCATACCTTCGCGGCTAATTTGAATAACAAAGGTGTCAGTTTTGTTTTACTCACCCTGTATACAGGGTGTCCCCAAAAAACAAAAACTATTGAAATCACTTATTGTTAAAATTGAATGCCCTATACCAAAAAGCTGAACGTAATGATGCGTAAAATACAGGGTGTATAAAACAAAAAACGCAACCTCGGAATTTCCCAAGAAATCGACATTGTTTTAAAGACAAAAGATTTTAGGTGCCCGGGAATTTAAAATAGCACAACTGTCAAAATTACTGCACACGCGAGTGCATAAAGCAAAATTTATGCATTTATTTAATGCACAACAACAGTAATATGATCTATTAGCAATTCGATTTCAATTCCCAGGGGCCTAAAATCTTTTATGCTTAAGAATTGCAAAGTGATTTCTTAGGAAATTCCGAGGTTGCGTTTTTTTTTATACACCCTGAATTGACAAGGTGCATGTATTAAAATTCATAGTTAAGAACATCTCCTTGTAAAGTGCGCGATTTTCTGCTCTTGGGAAATTAAAGCAGCTTCTTAAATAGTTTCTTTATGCATAAAATTTACTTGTGTCAATCATTTATGCACTCGTGGGAACCAACAGAGTGCTAAGGCATTCAAATTCTAACAATTAAATTGTTATTGATGATTTCAATAGCTTTCGTGGTTTTTTGGGACACCCTGTATACAGGGTGTCGAAACTATTGAAATCATCAATAACAATTTAATTGTTAGAATTTGAATGCCTTAGCACTCTGTTGGTTTCCACGAGTGCATAAATGATTGACATAAGTAAATTTGATGCATAAAGAAACTATTTAACAAGCTGCTTAAAGGCCTGATTCCACGAGGCGGAATTTTTCGACCGAAACGAAATTTCTCTTTGTCTTTTTACAATTAGTTCTGCTTGAGAGCCCGCAAAACAAAGAGAAATTTCGATTCGGTCGAAAAATTTCGCCTAGTGAAAAACCGTCTTTAAGGCCTGATTTCACGAGGCGGAATTCGAATTGTAAAAAGACAAAGAGAAATTTCGTTTCGTTAACGAGGCGGAATTTTTCGACCGAAACGAAATTTCTCTTTGTCTTTTTACAATTAGTTCTGCTCGAGTGCTCATGAAACAAAAAGAAATTTCGATTCGGTCGAAAAATTTCGCCTAGTGGAAAACCGCCTTAAAATTCCCAAGAGCAGAAAATCGCGCACTTTACAAGATGTTCTTGACTA